ATCTTGCCAAAAACAGAACATGCGTTTGTTAGACGCTTTTTTCATGAAAATTCGATGATTTGCAAGAAAAGCAGAATATTTCAAAGAACTTACCTAATTACACTGTTTTCATTGCAAAATGACTGAAGTGAAACGCGGCGAGAAAAAATTAGGGCTGTATAAAACATAAAAGGCCAAAAAATGATGATTTTGACCGAATGTTTTTTACGTCTGATCACAAAAATTCCACAAGATTTTGTTTTGTTTGCTTATCTGTGACTTTGAACTGTCCGACGGATTTGACCCTGTCAAGGTTGATGTTGCGGTAAGTCAATCGTGTGTGTGCAAAAAGTCATTTTTGGAAACTTGATAAATCCGTCATGTTTTCATTTCTGATCATATTGCCATTTTGTATGTCGATTATTACAAAAAGCCTATTGATTGAGACCCTTATAGGCTATAGACAAGCAAAATCTAAGGCTTTTCCGAATAGTAAGCTTCTTTTTAAGAAGCTAGCAACTTTTTCAGGTGCGGTAATATGCAGTGGCATCTCTAGAAGTTTCTCCTCAACGGATACCTTAAAATGAATTACGGTACAAATATGATAATTGGGTTCGACAAGTTTGAAAGATAAGTCCAGCGGTGTTGTTTTGCAAAAACAAACAAATTGTTTTCCTTCTCTTGAAATCTAACAAATAATTTTTCAAATTTGATTGGATTGATAAAATCGAAAAAGTCTTGCCAAAAACTTAGAACGTGCATTTGTCAGAGTTAGTCTACGACGCTTTTTATAAGTTGCGATAATTTTTCTGCGAGAAAAAGAATTATGAGAGAAAGTTTACCTAAATAATATGTTTCTAATCGCAAAATGACTGAAGTGAACAGCGTCCAGAAAAATAATGGAGATGCTTAAAACATAAAAACCAAAAAGGTCGATTTTGACCAAAAGATTTCTGGCTTATCAAAAGTTTCCGCCCAAGATTACTTGTTAGCTTATCTGTGATCCCAGGGACGGATCTTAGATTTTCTCGAGGGGACGGTGCAGATTTTCAAAAATTATTGGAAATTTTATCTTTTTGTCCCATCAAGTTTTCGACCAAATTGATTTTCCGAGCTCTCACCGAACACTATAAAAACCCTTTTTTGACCAAAAATTCTGCACCCTAGCATAAATTCTGGAAAAAAACAGGCCAAAAAAGGCTTTTTAGGCAGTTTTTGGGAATTTTAAACCTAAATATTGCGTTTTTTCGGCGCGTGCATCCCGCACAAACTTGGTTTATATTGACGCCATAGACGCCTTCAAAAAATTGGAGTCCGACAGCCAAAAATAGGTAGCTTAAAATAGTACAAAGGGGGATTTTTTGAGTCGGAACGGAGTCGATTCGCTGAGTGGAGGAACATCCACACCCTCCCGCTTAAATCTGCTGGTGTGTGGTCCCATAGTATACCTGTTACTACAAGCGAATAATTGCTTAACATAACGAAAAAAACTGCGGTGCAATGATACAGTTTTTTTGAGACTCATGTTCAAGAAATTTAACCGGAAAGCCTTTGAGGATTGGAGGCAAAGGGGTTACGGGACAGATAGACGAGTCACTTATGTCAAATTGAAAGAGCAACTGAGCCCGATATGCTTCAGAAAGGTGGGTGTTTGGCGGAATTGAATCGGCGACCAATGAAAGTTTCGCGTTTTTGCAGACAATCGGAGCACAGAAACGGTACATTCAAAATTCAACAATATATTCTGTCAGAATTAATTGTTCATTCTGCTGAATGGCGTGCAGAAATTGGATCAATGAAATTCCCTTTGTACCAATGTAGCAACTTAAGACAGTAAATCAATCTATCTGGTTCGTAGACTGCTGAACTGGTGTCCACATGAATGCAAAATGAATGTATATGGAAAAACGTCTGAATAAAAATTAGGCCATGTTGGACATTCACCTCTTAATTCACCTCACTGAATGTCTATGGAGACAATGATTCGGAAAAATTCATTCAGAAGCTTTTGATAACTCATTAAAAGGCATTTTTGAATAATTTTTACACCTTAATTAAAGTTTATGCTGTGCAAACTGTTTTTTTTTTCATTAGAAACCAACAAGCTTACTTAGAAACCAACAATCTGACGGAACCTAAAAATCTTACTTAGACGAATTAGCAGCCTTATGAAAAAATAATTCAATAGTTGAGCATATGTAAATTTTTCACATATTAACAATTTTCCTTCTTTCGTAAACAAGCAAGCCTTTTGTTAATGTTTTGGTGGTGAGCAAACTAATAAATTCTGGTGGGTGTCCGGCAAAAAAGACGAAAGTTGTTAAGACGACAATTGCTTTTAGTGGGACTTTAAAGCGGCTACCGCACAAACCCATTTGCTCTTTTGTCACGAGATCTCAGTCAAGTTAGACGTCTAGATGTGACGTTACCCAGTTTTTATCACGGCTCTAGCTCTTACTTATGCTGCAGTTATTGCCAAGTTTTTGGCAAAATTGGTAGACTTGAGCAACTTGAACGATCAAAAAATGGTCGTTATAGTTGAATTAGTTTTTTGAAAGCCTTCTTCAAGTGGTGTTACGGTTGAAGTGAAGTAAAAATTATTTCAGACGTATTAGCTTAATTAACTTCGCGCAGATTCGTTGACCTAAAATGATTTTGCCAACATTTTGGCTGCTTCTATTTCTTTGAGCAGCCTAAGATAAACATGAGCAATCAAAGATAAAAAATTGCAGCGGCGTTCCACTTTTCGATGAAAATTGAGTCCAACTTTTGCATCTTTTTCGGCTATGTTTTTTTTATAATTTAGAAGAATCCAATTTTTTTGTGTTTTAGTCTTTCATTTTTCTAAGTTTTAGAATATTTTATCATCGAGATAAAGGAGCATAATATGAGCTATTCATTTCGATACCGAGAAATACTGGATATAAGTTAACTGAATTGTGGTTTCCATTTCAAACTAACTGAAATCAAAAAAGCTTGAAAAAAATTTAGCTCGGGTTCAATTTAAATCTTTTCAGTCTTTTATTTAGCTTCCAGAAAGAAAAAAAGCGCCCTTTTAAGAAAAAACCAACCTTATGTTTCCCTGGTCTAAGCGCTTAATTTATTTTTTGACTTTCTCGACCCAAAATGGTATGTTTGGTCCGACTCGATCCAGTTCAGACATGCTTCGATTTTCTGTAGCCAAATTCGATACATTTCTCGACCGACATTGCAAAAAAGTTTTTTTTCAACCCTGCATGGGTTAAGTAAGCTTTTCAATTGATTTTTTTTGTGATGCTGTTTGATCAGAAAAAAACTTTAAGTGTCAGTGAAATGCAAAGTTCCTGCATCGAAAACTAAATTCAACAAAATGAATCTTCCATTTTGCTTTTGATTTTATAAACAAATCTGGATCTGGACTGAAATTATTGAAGTGAAAACTTAAGATCTTGGAAAATTAAAATGTTTCCTCAGACACATTTAGTTTCTTCAGAAAATCTTCAAAAAAAATTTTGAAAAAAAAAATTGATTGTGCTTGCCTTATATTTGACTTTTTCGATCAAAATTGGGTATGTTCCGAATGGCTCCACTTATGTTTTGACTCTCTCAATCAAATGATGCGACTTTGTGTGATGCGACTTTGTGATCGACCTAAAATTGCTTCTCAAAGCTGCACAAGCAACGGAAATGCAGACGCAAAATTGCGCTAGCTCGACTTTCAAAGTTGAAATATAAAACAAGCTCCTCGGTCAGGGTTGCTGTTTCGATAAAAAAAATCATTAAGCACAAAAAAACTTAACAAATATATATCTTGCACTACCTTTCATTTTAATATTATTTCGGGTCCTACCTTAGCACAGTGGTAAGGTGCTCACCGTGAGAAAGTTAGATCGACAGTTCGATCTCTTGTGTGAGGTCGAGCGCATATACTACTTCTGACTCCAGGTCTGTGTCAGCATGAGAAAATTTGGCCAAAATAGTGATGATATCTCACCAGATACGTTAGTACTCGATTAAAGAAGACAAATAGTATCGTAAAAGAGACAGAAGGTAAAAGAGACAGATAAAATCGAAACCTAGAAACAAGGGTGAAATTTGAGAATGAGAAAAAAGAAATGGATTATAAAGGAGTACTGTGTAAAACAACCCTATAGGATGATGCCGACGTGACAATGACTGATTGATATTTTCGTGACAGAGAAAAAAATCGCACTCGAATGTTACGTTTCATATGCAGATACTGAAGAAAAATGACCCAACTGTTTTGAACTAATCATAGGAAAACTACAAAGGACTCAAAAAGGACGAAAGATCAAAAAACCATATGACATGAACCAATTTCGCAGAAAATTAATTAAAACAATTACTTAAATAAAGCAATAAAACAAAAGGGTTGAGAGCATACATCCTATTCTCATGAAAGAGTAGAACAGGAAATCAACAAAATAATAGACTAACCCACGTCAAGAATCTACAAATTTTAAGCAGTAAATCAAGATCACAGTCAAGTAACCACACTCAAGTAACCCAGGTTATTCAGAAAAAGCCGGTTCGAAAAATGATGACAACTGCAGGCCTACTCGACTAGTTGACTTTCCTGCGGAAGTACTCCACGCCATAACAAAAGCTACAAAATTTTAGACATCCAAAAACGCGCGAGGGTGGTCACATTCAATGTTGTAGAAACGTTGGAAGAACTGCACAAGAAGCTTGGAAGCGCAAAAATGAGAAACAACAAAAGCAAAAGCAGGCAACCGCCAACTGGTTTAAGGTACAATCAAATCGCCACAAAGAACAAAG